CCAGCACTGCAGAAGTCGTGAAGACAGGCCGGGCATGGTAGCTCATGCCTGTAATCCCAGCACTTTGGGAGGCTGAGGTGGGTGGATCACGAGGTCAGGAGATCGAGACCATCCTGGCCAACATGGTGAAACCCCATTTCTACTGAAAATACAAAAATTAGCTGGGCATGGTGGTGTGTGCCTATAATCTCAGCTACCTGGGAGGCTGAGGCAGGAGAACTGCTTGAACCAGGGAGTCACAGGTTGCAGTGAGTGAGATTGCACCACTGCACTCCAGCCTGGCGACAGAGCAAGACTCTGTCTCAAAAACAAAAGGAAAAGAAGTCTTAATGACAGCGGCCTGTGTTCCCAGTCCTGGTTATTCCGAGAGCAGAGCCGTCCCCGTTCGCAAAGTAGTCACATGATGACAATTCCATCAGTGGTGCATCACACAGTGTTGTTCTCATAGATGATCCTGCCATATTTTTACTGTATCATTTTATGTTTAGATAGACAAATATTACGTGTTACAGTTACCTACAAACTTCAGTACCGGAACCTGCTAGAGGTCTGAATCCTAGAATCAATAGGCCATGCCTTACAGAAGTGTAGTCAGCTACCCCATCAACGTTAGGTAGGTACAGTCCGTGATGTTCGCACAATGATGAAATTGCTTAATGATGTATTTCTTGGAAAAAAAATATGTATGTTTGAGACATGGTCTCGCTCTGTCACCCAGGTAGGAGTGCTGTGGTGTGATCATAGCTCACTGCAGCCAGGACTCCCTGGGCTCAGGCGATCCTCCCACCTCAGCCTCCCTAGTAGCTGGGATGATAGATGTGTATCACTATGCCCAGATAATTTTTGTGGTTTTTGTAGTCTCATGGTTTCGCCATATTGCCCAGGGTGGTCTCAATTCCTGGACTCAAGTGATCTACCTGCCTCAGCCTCCCAAAGTGCTGTTAGGGTTCAACTCAGAAAGCCTGGGGTGAAAAGCTACAGTCAAAGTTTCTTTGGGCAGGCCGGGTACAGTGGCTCATGCCTGTAATCCCAATGTGAGCCACCAGGCCCGCCCGTCCACCCCCTTTTTTTTTTTGAGACAGAGTTTTGCTCGTTGCCCAGGCTGGAGTGCAATGGCACGATCTCAGCTCACCCCAACATCCACCTCCTGGGTTCAAGCGATTCTCCTACCTCAGCCTCCCCAGTAGCTGGGATTACAGGCATGTGCCACCAAGCCTGGCTAATTTCATTTTTTTTTTGAGACAGAGCCTCGCTCTGTTGCCCAGGCTGGAATGCAGTGGCATGATCTCAACTCACTGCAACCTCTGCCACCTGGGTTCAAGAGATTCTCCTGTCTCAGCCTCCTGAGTAGCTGGGATTACAGGTGTGTGCCACCACACCCAGCTAATTTTTGTATTATTAGTAGAGACAAGAGTTTCACCATGTTGGCCAGACTGGTCTCGAACTGCTTACCTCAGGTGATCCGCCCACCTCGGCCTCCCAAAGTGCTGGGATTACAGGCGTGAGCCACTGTGACTGACCTAATTTTGCAGTTTTAGTAGAGTTGGGATTTCTCTATGTTGGTCAGGCTGGTTTCAATCTTCCAACCTCAGATGATCTGCCCACCTCAGCCTCCCAAAGTGCTGGGATTATAGGCATCAGCCACTGCACCTGGCCTTTTTTTCTTTTAAAAAGTATCCCCATTGTTAAGTCAGGCATGACTATATTGCATTGGTCTGTTCTAACATGTCTGGAAGCTACAGAAGGGTTGACTCAAGGTGCTTGTCTTCAATTCAGAACGCATTCCTTGAAAACACTGTGGGGGAAGGAAGAACCCACATCCGCCTGGGACAAAAGATTACAATAGAAGAAAACCACAGATGAGCCAAAGCCTGGGATGAAATGCTGCGGTGAAAGGTTCTTTGGGCAATGAGAGCCTTCTAAAGGCACCTATGTATACTGAATTATTTATTTGTTTTAGACGGAGTCTCGCTCTGTCACCCAGGCTGGAGTGCAGTGGGCTCATCATGGCTCACTGCAGCCTTGAACTCCTGGGCTCAAGCGAGCCTCCTACCTCTGCCTCCAGAGTAGCTAGGACTATAGGTGCACGCCACCACACTTGGTTAGTTTTTTATTATTTTGTAGAGATGGTGGGGTGGGGGCGAGAGAGTCTGTCTATGTTGCCAAGGCTGGTCTCAAATCGCTCAAGTGATCCTCTCACTTCAGCCTCCCAAAGTGTTGGGATTACAAGCATGAGTGCCCAGCTAGGAGAAGTTTTTTGTTTCATTTGTCTATCTTTTCCTCTCTGTAACATAAAATAAAAAAACTCCTACAACAAAAAGACAAACAACCTAATTTTTAAATGTGCAAAAGACATTAACAGATTTCTTTCCAAAGAAGATATACACATGACCAAGAAGCAGCTAAAAAGATGCTTAACCTTACTTTTCATCAGGGAAATGCACATACACTAGGTTGGCTATTAAAAACAAAACAAAACAAAAACAGGGCTGGGCGTGGTGGCTCATGCCTGTAATCCCAGCACTTTGCGAGGCTGAGGTGGGCAGATCACTTGAGGCTGGGAGTTCAAGACCAACTTGGGCAACATGGGATAAACCCTGTCTCTATTATAAATACAAAAATTAGCTTGGCGTGGTGCTGTGAGCCTATAAGATTCTCAGGCTGAGGCATGAGAATCACTTGAACTTGGGAGATGGAGGCTGCAGTTACTGCACTCCAGCCTAAGTGAAGGAGTGAGACTGTTGAAAAAAAAAAAACAAACAAAATGGAAAAGAACAAGTATTGGTGAGGATGTGGAGAAACTGGAACCCTCATACATGGTTGGTGGGAACGGAAAACAGCACAGCTGCTGGGAAAAACATTTTGGTTCCTCTAAGAGTTAAACATAGAAATACTACAGGGTCCAGCACTTCCACCAATAGGTCTATACCCCAAAGAACTGAAAGCGGGTAATCGGATACACATATACACATTAAAAGCAGCTGTACTCACGATAGCTAAAAGATTGAAACAACCCTACTGTCCATCAATTAGGAATGGCTCAAGAAATTGTGGGGCCAGGCACAGTGGCTCACAACCTTACAAGGCTTTGGGCAGGGAGCCAGGAGAATCACTTAAGCCCAGGAGTTAAGGACCAGCCTGGGTAACATACGCAGGCTGGTATGTTGCTATAAAACATAATTAGGCAGGTGTAGTCCCAACTACTTGGGAGGCTGAGGTGGATCACTTGAGCCAGGGAAGTGGAGGGTGTAGTGCGCTGTTATTATACCACTTGCACTCCAGCTTGAGTGACAGAGTGAGACTGTGTCTCAAAAAAAAAAAAAAAGAAAAAAAAAGAAAAATTGAAATTCTGGTATGCGCATACAATAGAATACTACTCAGCCATAAAAAGAATTAAATATTGATACATGGACTAACCCTAGAAACATGCTAAGCAAAAGAAGTTAAATACAAATGGTGACACATTGTCTGCTTCCATTCATAGGACATTTAGAGACCGAAAGCAGATTGCTGGTTGCCAGAGGCTGGGGGCAAAGTGGAATGAGGAGTTGATACAGGAGGTAGGAAGAAATTATTTAGGCAGAGAGTGAGTGCAAAATGTCCTCAGCAGAATTTCTTTTCTTTTTTTTTTTGAGACAGTCTCGCTCTGTTGCCAGGTGCCAGGCTGGAGTGCAATGGCGTGATCTTGGCTCACTGCAACCTCCGCCTTCCGGGTTCAAGCAATTCTCCTGCCTCAGCCTCCCGAGTAGATGGGAGTACAGGCGCGCACCGCCACGCCCAGCTAATTTTTGTATTTTTAGTAGAGACAGGGTTTCATCATGCTGATCAGGATGGTCTCCATCTCTTGACCTCGTGATCCACCCACCTCGGCCTTCCAAAATGCTGGGATTACAGGCGTGAGCCACCGCGACTGGCCCAGAATTTCTTTTCTAACAGAATGTAGCCCCACCTCCGCCAGGCGCGGGGGCTCATGCCTGTAACCCCTGCAACTTTGGAAGGCCAAGGCGGGCGGATCACGAGGTCTGGAGTTTGAGACGAGCCTGGCCAATATGGTAAAACCTTGTCTGTACTAAAAATACAGAAATTAGGCAGGCATGGTGGTGCGCGCCTGTAGTCCCAGCTACTCGGGAGGCCGAGGCAGAAGAATCACTTGAAAGCTGGGAGGTGGAGGCTGCAGTGAGCCGACATCACACCACTGCACTCCAGCCTGGGCGACAGAGTGAGACTCTTGTCTCAAAAAATAAAATAAAAATCAATTAAAAAAGGAATCACCCTTAAAGTGCTTATAGTACAGGTATAAAAAATAAAAATTAAAAAAAAAAAAGGAATCACCCATTCCCCACTATTACTTCAAAATGTCCAAGCAGCGAGGAAAATGATAGAAAAACTTGGGAGTGAAAAGGAATACCAAACCGATATTACCAAGAGCTGCTACTTCCCCAAATTTTCTAAAAGCAGGAAAGTGCCGACAACAACCAGCTGTATTTGAGAAGTGTTTGTCATCACCTGCCAACTTTTTCTGGGTCTATCTTTGAAGACTAAACATTTCCATGTACACTGTTTATGTTTCGACGGGAACCAAACAACAGATTATTATTTACTGAAGACCTTCGATGTGCGACGCACTGAGGAAGTAAGCACCCAACAGGTATTTCACCTGTCCCACGACAGCCCAGTGAGGTAGGCCTATTATCCCCACTTTGCAGAAGAGGAAACAGGCTCAAGTAATTGGTGGGGTGGGAGCTGAACCAGGCAAACTGGCTCCCATTCCCACACTCTCCTCACCTTTTCCTACCTGGGCCGTCGTTTTTCTGACCAGCGGCTACTGTAATGACTCTGTTTACCTGCTGGCCCTTGAATTTGAGACCGTTGGGGTGCATAGTGTGGCCACACCCCTCCCCTGTCTGTAAGCCAGGAAAGCCGAGCGCTCACCAGGAACCGAGCCTCATCTCAATGCTCACAGCCACTCTAGAGTGGTCGTTCCAGCACTCCCAACTTACTAGTAAACTGATACACTGACGCTCCTAATGCGCAAAAGGTGTCGAAACTGGGGCCACACTCCCAGACCAAGCAAAACATCACACCACGGGTATCTCCGCCCCGCCCCAGCTGAGCCTTTTTATAAGCGAGCCCTACGGGTCGCGTACAGGGCCATGCCCAGTAGCTATTTTTTTGGTCCACTGTACCCCGTGGATCTAGCCAAAGGTTGTCACGCGCGGCGCACTCTGGGAAAACTGCGGGGAGATGCCTAAGAGGACCCTGCCGCCTCTAACTTTAGTTGTCTCAGCTATTGCCTACAAAAGATGTGCCCTTATGGCACTTATTTTTGTCATTTTCCTCCACCAACGGCCGAGACCAGAGCCGTACCCTTTGAGAAAAATGTTTCAAGACAGTTGATTGCCTCCGGCGCCTCAGGCATTCATTCGGGTAGCCTGCCTCTCTCGGGGTCCTTCACTTTTGGCGCTGTGGGTTACAGACAACCGACAGAAGCGGCTGCCAATGAGCTCCGCCGAGTAGGACGGGGGCAGGGCTAGCGCTTAAAGGAGCCGTGACCCCCTTTGCAGACCAGAGGGTGAACCGGATGATGGCGGCCAGCGCGGCCCTAGCCCTGGCCTTATGGCTACTAATGCCACCAGTAGGGGTGGCAGGGGCGGGACCCCCGCCAATCCAGGACGGTGAGTTCACGTTCCTGTTGCCGGCGGGGAGGAAGCAGTGTTTCTACCAGTCTGCGCCGGCTAACGCAAGCCTCGAGACCGAGTACCAGGTAGAGGGTCGAGGGCTGGGCAGCCAGCGGAGTCAGGGTGAGGGGGCGTGGCCAAGTCGCCGAGGCTAGGCGCGCTTTAGGGGGGAAAAGGGAGGAGCCCGTGCGTGGGAGCGCGGGGGCGGGGCTGGAAAGAGATGGACAGATGGGGCGGGGACGGCGTGTGGGAACGGAAGGGGAGGGAGTAATAAAGAAGGTGGGGTTAGAGTGATACATCCAGAGGGGGCAGGGCCAACGAGAAGTATAGGTAGCCTCTGAGATGACAGGACTCTCGCTTCTGGGCGTGGCGATAATGCTCATAGGTCGATGACGGGGGCGTTGCTGACAAGCCTTTCTTGGGGGTTAGACTAAGGAAAAAGGCAGGGCCTATCGTCTTTTGGAGGCGGAGCTAACCGGGGGCGTGGGCAGGTAAACGTCCTTCAAGGACTTTTGATAGGTGCCTGGTCAGCTGAGTTCAAAGTATGGGCCCCAAGCTGTCATATCAATGAGGGTGGAGGCAAGGGGCGCAGCCATTGGGACAGGTTGGGGCAGGACCGGTTGTGGGTGTGCCGGCATTCAGGTAAGCCCTTGGTGGTCTGTATGGGTTAGTGTGTGGTTCAGCCATAGCCCTCTTTGGCAGGCGCCCTTGGCCTACCGATCACCCTTCACCCGCTCTTACCTGTCCCCCAGGTAATCGGAGGTGCTGGGCTGGACGTGGACTTCACGCTGGAGAGCCCTCAGGGCGTGCTGTTGGTCAGCGAGTCCCGCAAGGCTGATGGGGTACACACGTGAGTTCAGTCCGGCTGCCTGCCTAGGTTCAGTTACAGCCCTGCCCCTCCCAGGTGGCCTCAGGTTACCGCCCTGACTACCCTACCGAGTTGGCTGGCTGGCCACCCTGGGTCATGTTTGTGGGTCTGTCTCTCTGCCCAGGGTGGAGCCAACGGAGGCCGGGGACTACAAGCTGTGCTTTGACAACTCCTTCAGCACCATCTCCGAGAAGCTGGTGTTCTTTGAACTGATCTTTGACAGCCTGCAGGATGACGAGGAGGTCGAAGGATGGGCAGAGGCTGTGGAGCCCGAGGAGATGCTGGATGTTAAAATGGAGGACATCAAGGTATGTCCAGGCTGTGCTGGGGCCACTCCTTCCAGATCTCTAGGATTCAGCTGGGGTGCCCCTCCTTGGCTTGACCCACCCTCCCATCTTTATTGGTGCCCTCAACTGAACTATAGTAACAGTAGCAGCAATTAAAGTAGTTCATTTCAGGCCATGCATGGTGGCTCACACCTGTAATCCCAGCACTTTGGGAGGCTAGGCGAGTGGATCACCTGAGATCAGGAGTTCGAGACCAGCCTGGCCAACATGGTGAAATGCTGCCTCTCCTAAAAATACAAAATATTAGCCAGGTGTGATGGCAGGCACCTATAATCCCAGCAACTTGGCAGTCTGAGGCAGGAGAATCACGAACCCAGGTGGCAGAGGTTGCAGTGAGCCAAAATCGCACCATTGCACTCCAGCCTGGGGAATAAGAATGAAACTCTGTCTCAAAAACAAAGAAACAAACAAACAAACAAAAAAAACCCCAGCAGTTCATTTCTAGGTGTAAACCTGGTTTAAAGGTTTAAGGAACTCGTATCATAAATAACTCATACTGTAAATCTCCATAACCATCTTGTGAAGTAGACCTTGTGGTCCAATTATACCCATTTTACAGGTGGGAAAAGTGAGATACAGGATGGCTGAGCAACTCAAGGGTACACAGACCAACTAGCAGAGTTGGTACTGAACCCAGACTGGTTTCAGCAACTGTGCTCTTAACCACAAGCAAGTATGTTCTGTACGTTTATTACCGTTTTAATAACTATTGTTTTATTTTATTTTCTTTCAGACAGATCTCTCTTGGTTACCCAGGCTGGAGTGCAGTGGTGCGATCTCAGCTCACTGCAACCTCTACCTCTCAGGTTCAAGTGATTCTCCTGCCTCAGCCTCCTAAGTAGCTGTGCAACCATGCCCAGCTAAGTTTTGTATTTTTAGTAGAGACAGGGTTTCACCATGTTGGCCAGGCTGGTCTCGAACTCTTGATCTCAGGGGATTTGCCCACCTCAGCCTCTCAGAATTCTGGGATTACAGATGTGAGCCATAGTGAGGCAGGGTCTTGCTCTGTCACTCAGGGTAGAGTGCAGTGGTGTGATTATAGCCCATTACAGCCTGAAACTCCTGGGCTCAAGCAATCCTGCCACCTCAGTGGGACTGCAGATGCACACTACCATGCCTGGATAATTTTTTGTTTTCTGTAGAGATGAGGTTTCACCATGTTGCCCAGGGTGGTCTTGAACTCTTGGGTTTAAGTGATCCTCCTATATTGGTCTCTTAGTGTTTTGATTACAGGTATAATCTTGTCTCAGCCTCCTGAGTAGCTGGGATTACAGTTGCACACCACCACCCATCTAATTTTTGTATATTTTGTAGAGATGGGGTTTTGCTATGTAGCCCAGGCTGGTCTCAAACTCCTGGGCTCAAGTGATCATCCCACCTTAACGTCCCAAAGTGCTGGGGTTACAGGCATGAGCCACCATGCTCGTCCTTGTACATTTATTTAGGCATTAAATTTTCACAGCAATTTGGAAGCTTATAGAAGAAACAGGCTCAGAGAGGTTAAGTTGCTCACAGTCACACAGCCAGTGAGTGGCAGAGGACTTGAACTTAGCCCGAACAAGTCTGTGTTTGCAGCTGTACCTCCCTGGGCTACCACAGCCTCCCTCCATATCCCAGGTTAATTGGGTCTCTGCTCCCCAACAGGCGGAGGCCTGACCCTTCCACTCCCTCTGCCCTGCAGGAGTCCATTGAGACTATGCGGACCCGGCTGGAACGCAGCATCCAGACGCTGACGCTGCTGAGGGCCTTCGAGGCACGTGACCGCAACCTGCAAGAGGGGAACTTGGAGCGGGTCAACTTCTGGTCGGCTGTCAATGTGGCGGTGCTGCTGCTGGTGGCCATGCTGCAGGTCTGCACGCTCAAGCGCTTCTTCCAGGACAAGCGCCCAGTGCCCACATAGCCCCTGCCGCAGAAGGAAGAACAGGGGACGAAGGAGGGGCAATGGGGCGTGCGTATGAGACTTGGGGGTCCCTCCCCAATTTTAGGTTCCTGCCAAAGCAGGAGTGTGCAGTCAGGGCCTGAGGTCTGGCCCTGTGAGTCTCCTTGCATCCTCAGCGGGCAGGGAACGCCTCTGGCTTGCAGAAGGGGCGGCTCCGCGGCTGCATTGACGTTTCTGGAAATCTCGCAGGGTGGGCACTGCAGCGTTGGAATGGGAGCCTCGGGTTTCCTGGCCCTTCTACTGTAAACGTGCCTTAATCTAAGCCTTCTTGTTTGAGCATTGCCTGGTGCGGGGCAGGGCCTAACAAGGACACCTGGATCCTCCAAGCCACGTTGAGGTCTGGTAATAGAACACCAGGAAGGGGCCTGCAAGACCACCTGCCCTGCCCCCTCTCCCTGTAGGGGCCCCACACAGGCATGAGTGGTGGCCCCGCCAACGTCTAGGCAGAAGCCTCCTGGAACAAAGGGTGGTGTGGCCTGGGCATCGGAGTCAATAAATTATGGTCAGAAAAATCAGAGCCTGCTGACTGGGGCTCACGGACACCAGCCAGGACAGACCGGCCCCGAGAGGGCAACCAGACAGGCGGGAGGGGCCTCCCACGAAGCTCAGAAGAAGGGTCGTGCGGGAGCCGATGGAGGTGGTCGCCTGGCACAAGAGAAAAATCAGAAAGCAAAGTTTAACTGAGCCCTGGCTGGGCCACAAGGCCTGGGCTTCCCCATGAGGGTGAGAAGCAGGGACTGAGGGTAGGAAGGGGGTGAAGTGCTGGGGTCCATGCTCCACCAGGCAGCAGCCAGGCATGTGCGCATGGGGGTGTGTGGGGCAGTGGAGAAGATCTGCTCCCACTCCTGATGTGCTAAAGAAAGTAAAAGCTCTCCTGTGTATCGAGTGGCTTCCTCCGAAAGGTGACCCCCCTGAAAGCAGAGCCCTTCAGGGAGTGAGGTGTGAGGCGCTTATGATTGTAGGGACCTGGGCGTCCTTGTGGGAGGCCTGATGGGGGAGGTGGTGCCCACGTCCCCAGCCTGAACACCAACACAAGAGGCCCACACAGCAGCCACCAGCAGCGTCTTCCCTTTATTTTTAGTTTATTAATAGGATACAGAGTGCAGGCACTTACAGTGGTCAAACCGAGCGAGGAGTGGGTGAGGTCTGCTCAGAGGCCGCCTGGGGCCCACCCCATCAGGGTAGCATGGGCAGGAGCTGAGAGGCCCCCAAGGTCCCCCCTGCCACCACCATCCACAGAGCCCCAAGCCCAGCCACCCTGGGGGACCCAGGAGGAGGAGGAGAGTAGGAGTTGGGCGAGGCCGGCCTGGGCCAATGGCTCCAGGCCTGGCAAAGGCACCTCTGGCAGCCGAGGCTGGGCCAGGCTCAGGCTGTGTGGTTAATATGGCCAAGAAGGACTATGTACAACTCAGGCCTGGCAGCTGGGCACTGCCGAAGAGCCCATGGGGCCAGGCTCACCACCGGGGAGCTCCTGCTGATGGGACGCTGACGTGCCCCAGCAAGGCCTGGGGACATAGGCGCCCTTGGTGCCCCCACTTCTAGAAGGCCCCTGCCCTACTGGGCTTTCCCAGCCCAAGAAGACCCTGGCAGAGTCCCCCAGGCTGGACCCCTCATTCAAGATGGTGTCGAGGGTGCAGGTCCCCCCTCTGCCACCCTGAGACCCCATCCTCCAAAGTGCAACACCCCAGCACCCCCTGCCTGGAGGTCCAGGGCCCTTTCTCGCAGTGCGGTGCCTGCCCCCAGCCAGGCACAGGGGCCGGCCCTGGACCCGGGCCAGCATTAGGGAAGAGGCCAGGGCTGCCCACTGGGAGCCTGGTCCCAGCATAGGGGTGGTGGAGGGCCCCAGACCACTGAAGCTCCTGTGCCATGGGTGCGCGAGGCCCCCCGAGAGCATGCCCCCACTCGAGGCCTAGTCGAGCAGGGATGGCTCGGCTGGGCGGATAATGGTGGGCCTGTTAGGCGCAGCAGGGGGTCTTCTGCTGCAAAGAGAATAAAGACAGGTGGGGAGGGGGAGACGGCAGTGAGGCCGTGAGCCAGAGGCAGGCCTGGTTGAGGACCCAGCCCCCACCCACACGCCACCCCAGGGTGCTCCCTGGGCTGACGGCTCCACAAGCCACCAGGGTGCTGGGGAGGAGTTTGCTGAACCCCAGGCATCGATTCACCTGCTGTTTGACCCTTGGTGAGTTTCCTGCTCTATCTGGGCCTCAGCTTCCCCACTGGATAAGCAGAGAGAATAAGGCCCGGCCCACAGGGTAGAGTGAGGCAGGCAGAGGCAGGAACAAGGTTAACAGTGAGAGAAGGTGCCCAGCATGAGGGATCCCCAGCTGCCTGGTAGTGCATCCCAGTGGGCAGAGGGCAAGCTGGGAGCCCTGGAGTCACCGGGCTCCCCTACTCTGTGACACTGAACAAGCCTCTTGGCCCGTCTGGGCCTGCTTCCCAGCCAGCCAAATGGGGATGAGGACAATTCCTCCAATCCAGCAGCTGGGCACATGGGGAGAGCTCACTGGGAGGCAGTGAGACTGGAGGAGAGACCCCAGGGTACAGGTAGTTGGGGTGGGGGGCAGGGGGTTGGCCTTACCTGGGCACTCCTGGGGGGATCCCTGGGGGGATCCGAACTGGCCGCGATGGGATTTGAGGTGGGGCCGGGAAGAGGTCATTGTTGGCAAACACGCTCTGTGGTCCAGGCCGGTACGGGATTGGGGGTGGTAAGGAGGAGGTTGCTGTCCCCATGGGCAGAGGAATCATGGGGGGCCCTGGAGTGGGACCCCTCACCGCTGGGGGCCGGCCTGGGGGGTGCACACTGGACACGGGTCGGCGCTGAGGAGTAGGGCTGTGAGGAAGGAAAGGGTGTGAACTACAGACGGAGTGGGAATCCCAGCCATGCCAATTGTGGCTGCCAGGGCCCAAGGCTGGGGGGACAGCGCAGGCGCAGTGGGATCCTCCCACCCCAACCTGAGCGCCAGACCCACCTTCCCTTTCTCCCGGCCCCCAAGGGCTTCTGTTGCCCTCTGACCTCGTCCCCGCAGCCCCAACGTGGCCAAGCACTTCCCACTCACACGGCTCCCTCAGGTCTCGGGCCCTGGGATCCACCCTCACAGCCAGACACTCCAGAGTCCTCCCAGATCAAGCCTTAAAGCTTTCAGGGGCCATGGAACACACAAGCCCTTCCGAGAAACCCAGATTCCCTCCTGGGCCCCAGCACCTGCCGCCTGCAGGCCTAGGTGCAATGTACTCCCCCTAACACCATGGCTCCCCAAGGGCTCTGTAGGGTGGCCCCGAGGTTCCCTGTGACTGCCTCAATGGCCTACACTCCATCCGACACCTCGGGGGCAGGGCAGGTCTGGCCACACCTTCCGTTTGCCTCACCAGAGCCTTCCACCCACCCTTCTCTGTCCTCCAGGAGGCTCATCTCTGTTCTGTGGCTGCTGCCCCTCCAGCCTCTTACCCTGGCTTCCATTTGGGCAGTGCCGATGGAAGGCACCAGCAGAGGGCAGACGGGGTGGATTTATTCATGGTTTCCAGCCCTAGAGCTCCAAGGCCGGCTGGCCCCCATTCCCCTTCTCTCCCTTCTCAGGCCTCAGCAAGGCAGCAGCTCCCACTGTGCCCAGCCTGGGGGCCGCCCCTTCTCCTGCCCACCCTTGGGCTGTGTCCCGTTTCCTGCCAGGACCCTGCAGGACACGCGGGGAGAACAAGAACCTGCAGGCTGCACGCTTGTGGGTAGGGGAACCAGGCTCCCGGACCTGTGGCTGCTGGGGCTCTGGAGCCAGGTGTCGTCGACGGGCGGGGGCACGGGCGTGGACACGGTGCTGGTGCTGATGTCGCCAATGATGTTGAGCGCCTCCTTGAGGGCGTGGTACATGCGCAGCATGTCGTCTCGCCGCTGCGCCTGGTCGGCTGACTCCTCCATGAGGCTGCTCTGGTCCGCCGAGGAGTACAGGTAGGCCAGCAGCTCATGGTGGATGAAGGCCTTTGTCTGCGGGCAGGGGTTGGGGAGGCTCAGGCTTCTGCATCACCCCAACCCAGAACCCATAATGACTGCTGGAAATACATCTCCCACAGGGCGAGGCCACCCCCAGACTTCTTTGAGAAATCTTGCTCTGTCTCCCAGGCTGGAGTATAGTGGCTCAATCTTGGCTCACTGCCTCCCAGGTTCAAGCAATTCTGCTGCCTCAGCCTCCTGAGTAGCTGGGACCACAGGCGCACACCACCATGTTTAGCTAGGTTTTGTAGATGGGGCTTTACCATGCGGCCCAGGCTGCTTATGAGATTCTTATTCAACTTACTCCTAGCATCTTGTCTCTTCTATTGATACTGTCTTAGCTTCTTATTTATTTCCTTAACCTTGGCAGAATAGTCCTGTTATACTTTTATTTGTTTATGTTTTTGTGACAGTCTCACTCTATCACGCAGGCTGCAGTGGGTGATACTGCAACCTGCATCTCCTGGGTTCAAGCAATTCTTATGCCTCAACTTTCCAAGTAGCTGAGACTATAGGTGTGTGCCACCACCCCATCTAATTTTTGTATTTTTAGTAGAGACAGGGTTTCACCATGTTGGTCAGGCTGGTCTCGAACTCCCAACCTCAGGTGATCCACCTGCCTTGGCCTCCCAAAGTGCTGGGATTACAGGCATGAGCCACTGCTCCAGCCCCAAAGCTGGTTTATAAAGCTTTTTGAGTGGCTAGTGCCATGCCAAAGGCATGACCCACAAATGCCCTGAACCCTCCAGCAGCCTGAGCTGGAGATCGTATCAGCACAGCTGCATTTCACAGAAGAGGAACTCAGAGCCCTGAGAGTCTCCAGGGAACCTGGGGCCAGGCAGGTGATGCCCATGAGGAAGACAGGCTGCGCCCCCAGCCCATCAGGACACAGCAGCTGCCCGACACGACCTGAAGGCAAGGTTGCAACCAGAGTGAACGTGCATTTGAATCCCACTTCCTACTCTCCTAAGGGACTTGGGGAAGGTTACTTTATCTCTCTGGCCTCCAGTTTTCTGTCTGTGAAATGGAGTGCAGTGGCACCACCATAGTTCCCCGCAGCCTCAACCTCCTGGGCTCAAGCGATCCTTCTGCCTCAGCCTCCCAAAGTGCCAGGACTACAAACTGGTGTGAGCCAGGGTGGCTGGCCTCCTTCTCATTTTTTTTTTTTTTTTGAGACGGAGTTTCGCTCTTTTTACCCAGTTGCTGGAGTGCAATGGTGCGATCTCGGCTCACCGCAACCTCTGACTCCTGGGTTCAAGCAATTTTCCTGCCTCAGCCTCCCGAGTAGCTGGGACTACAGGCACGCGCCACCATGCCCAGCTAATTTTTGTATTTTTAGTAGAGACGGGGTTTTACCATTTTGACCAGGATGGTCTCGACCTCTTGACCTTGTGATCCACCCGTCTCGGCCTCCCAAAGTGCTGGGATTATAGGCGTGAGCCACCGCGCCAGGCCTCATTTTTTTTTTTTTTTTTTTGAGATGGAGTGTCACTCTGTTGCTGAGGCTGGAGTGCAAAGGCATGATCTCGGCT